TATATATATATATATATATATATATATATATATATATATATATATATATATATATATATATATATATATATATTTAATTATATTAAATAGTTATTTTTGATAGTTAAAATTTAATATAAATAATATATTCAATTGTATTAATTATATTAATTTTTATATAATGTTTAATAATATTAAAATAGGTTGGATTATGTTAACTCTCTCGGGAGTATTCTTGTCGAAATTGGAGAAATATTGAAATTATTTCTATTATTGAGTATTAAATGTGTCAAAATTATTAATATCGTTAAATACTAGAAATATTAAAATTATGAAAATTATTGAATTATTAAATCATAATATGTATATCATTAAATAATTTAATATTATAATTATTAAATTATTAAAAATTAAAATTATTAGAAATATTGAAATTATTAAATACAGTGAATCCGTAATTTTTTTATTTATTTCTGGCGGTCAACATTCGAAACAATTTCAAAACACGTTCATTTGAACTCAAATTTAATTTGAAATTAATAAAATTAAAATTAGTTTCTATTCTTACATTTTGATGTTTTATAAAAAAAAGAAAATAAGTGGGAAGAAACCTTTGGCCCACCCTGTATTAAAAATATTCAAATTACAAACTCCTTTCAAAAGTCGAAATTTCAGAGATCGATTAGTACACATTTTATCAAAATGACGACTATTTAATAACTAGTGACTTGAACAGTCGTACAAATTTGACCGAGATCGCCTCGTTGCAGGACACGGCAGGCCAGGAGAGATACAGGACGATAACGACGGCCTACTACAGAGGCGCGATGGGCTTCATCCTGATGTACGATATCACGAACGAGGAGTCGTTCAATTCGGTGCAGGACTGGGTCACGCAGATCAAAACCTACTCGTGCGACAACGCCCAGGTGATCCTGGTCGGCAACAAGTGCGACATGGAGGACGAGAGGGTGATCACTACTGAGAGGGGCAAGCAACTAGCGGACCAGTTGGGCGTCCAGTTCTTCGAGACATCGGCCAAGGAGAACATTAATATCAAGGTAAATCCAGAACCTAACGGGTTCGCAACAGGTAGGTCTCGAACAGTCGTTTGAAATTTTCTCTTGATGGCAAAATTCCCACTGACAACGTCAGTCTGATTGAATTCGAGCTGAATTGGTCTCGAATTGCAAGTCGGTCACTTTTGGTTATTTGTAGATACTGCGAAGCTCGAGAAATGCGTCGCAGTTTGGAAACATAGATACAGATCTCGTGACTAGATCGCGGTGCAACGCTCAGATCAACAATTGGAACTGACTAAAATACAGTTAAAGTGAAAAAATTAGAGAACGTTCGAGAGTCTAACATTGCAATCAGACCAAAACCAATTTCGTTGCGGAAATTACACGTAGAACAAATAGATTCTGCCTATAGTGCAATCGCTTCCATGTTCATTTTTCTTCCACTGTTTGTCCGGCCCATTATCCCCAATCGATACTCAACGATCGCACGGCCGGCAGCGTTATCGCGTCACGTTTTCCACACTCATTTATCGGGTCGAGCTTATTGCCATTGACGTCCATTCGATCGATTTTTGCTCACTGTTGTCCATGTGACGTAGACTATGATCCAGTTGGTCTTTTTTTTAAAATAACAACGTAGAAATTACTTACAGCGAATCTGCTATTTTTTGCTTGTTGCTAAAAGCACTCTCAGAGTTTTAATATAGACTGTAGATGTCGGAAATGACGAACAGATTAAATATCTAGTTCACAGGACTCCAGAAGAGTGACTCAATGTTCACTTAACTTCTAAACTCTCTAACTGTGTCTACGTATGACACTCTGTCTATAGGGTTTTGTTAGTTCATAGTACAGTACAGAGTGCAGAAGCCAAATAGCTACAGAGTGAATCACTCTTTTAGGATTCTGTGAGCCAAACTAGCACAACCGAGGTTCACAGGTGTTTCATTCGCTGTCAGTTTGTCACTACTAACTTGTCCAATATACCTCAGGCCTAGATTAAGTCTACATCGAGCTACGATCCTCTTTCTCCAAAAACAACATGAGCAAAATTGATATTGGCCATTGCTGAAAGTTGGATCTAGCCCTTTAAAATTAAAATAACTTCAAGATCCTGTGAGACAAGTTGAATCCTCATTTCGAGAAAAGACTAAAGTCAACTCCCACTGCTAAATCATATATGCTCCATCATATACTCTTTTTTTATTACCCTAACTTTTTCAAAATCTTCGGATACAACAGACAACTGAACCTAAATTTCACATCCAATTCACAGACGGTATTCGAGCAACTGGTAGATATAATATGCGACAAGATGAGCGAATCCCTGGACAACGATCCGACCTTGATCGCGGGTGGTATGGGCCAGGCGAAGGGTCAACGACTCACCGATCAGCCGACCAATCCAACGGACGACAACTGTAATTGCTAAGAACATGGATGGCCCGTTGCTCTGCAATTGCTCTGCAAAGCATGATAAGAAAAAAAAAAAAAAAAAGAAAGGATAACGATGAATAAGAAGAAAACAGTGAAGAACATGAAGATGACGACGAGGAAGGGAAAGGATGAAATATTAGAAGAAAGAACGCGTGTATGTCTGTACATGTATGCGTGAACGTTTGTGCACGTGGTCCTGTGTGCATGTGGTGAGTGTGGTTAGCCGTGACTGTGTGAGGGGAATAAGAGCAAGCGAGAGAGAGAGAAAGAGAGGAGGAGGAAGGTCGAGTGATAAAACGTTGGCTCTAGTTCACTTTGTTCGTCGTTCCTTTGACCTTTGTTTCCCGGCCGTTCTTCGTTCTGCTCTCTTTCTTTCCTCCTTTCTCGATCGATATATTTATATATGTGCACATAAATAATGTATATGCGCAGGACGGACCGCGCTACTCCATTTAACGAACAAAAAGAAGAAAAAAAAAAAAAGAAAAAAGAAAAAAAAATTGCTTCTCCGTGTTGTTTAAGACGATCTTTGAGAATTCGAGCGTGAAAACACTGACGAGTCTCGAGTTGGACAAGCATCGACTCGACATCCTCAATCCTACCCGTTTGTCGCTGACAATTTTTCGAAGTTTGTTTCGATTCCTCCCCTCTATCGCCATTTCGCCCAATTTCGAATTTTCTAATTGGAAAACTAATCTCAGCTATCTTCTAACGTCCATGCCCAATTTGGGGAATCAAATTTCTTGAACGTCGCTGTACTTAAATTCTCAACATATCCTCTCTCATTAGACTCGTTTGACAATTGACTTTTAACTTTCTCGCGACATCTCTGACAAATTTCAATAGAATTTTGTACACTTTAGATACATTTAACATACACTCTATGATATTTTAAAGTACCTAATTTACAAATTTCGTAGTGTCGATTACAAAAAGTAACACGGAACAGAAAAAGACTCGATCCCTACTGAGAGTGAGTTAAGAGCAGTCACTGGCTGCTACCAAAGGGCTATCCTATCCTCCCGTCAACGTTAGTAAACCATTCCCTCACAGCCAAAAGAAAAGCTCCGCCACTCTGTCTCGTCTTTTTTTTTTTTTTTGATATTCAGTCAGAAGCTTGAAGATCGATTCACCGACGACTGCAAGAGCAATTAATCACGCGATTCGCCCTGTATACATATATAAATATGTATGACGGTTGTAGCCTGATTACGCGGAGGTGCCAACGAGCCGATTGCGAGCTGGCGTTGCGATAATTATGCTTGGGTTCGACGGTGAAACTGGTGGGAATGGTCAGGGATCGTTTATGGCTCGTTGAACAAAAACAACGTTGCCACGATGTAACAAATACCTGGCCGCTGTGACGAGGAAAATTTATAATTCACCACGACACTTTTTCACGTGACAAATTCGAATCTGGTGGGCCAGTTCGATGGCCCAAGATGGGAACGCTGTTCACTTCCAACTTTCTAATCGGTGCGCAAACATACGGAAACATCGGCTTCTCAAACGTTTGAACGTTCGGTCAGGGAATTCTGCTCGATTCATCGACGTGAGTAGGACAATAACGAAAGAGTTGAAGTGAAATCGAAAAGAAACGAGAATTTATCTCAAGGGCTCGGTTTCACTGCGAGTGATTCGAACGGACAGTCCGTGCCCCTTCGAGCCGTGTCTCAAGAATCGACTGATCTCGGCCGCCATTTTTTTTTTTTTTTTTTGGTCGATCTCTCCTTTCCCTGGATCAGTTCGTTCCTTCAAAGATCACCACAATTCGTCTCGAGGGAGCACGAATCGTTAGACAAACAGATGGTCGTTTGGCGATTTCAAGCGCGCTCGGATCGACAAAAAACGTCTTAAGCCCCTTTCATACCTGGAAAATTGTGAGATATTGAAAATTAAGATCACGATGTGTTTGTGAAGCGTGTGTCGACTTGAGTGTCGTCGCATTTATGACACGACGAGTGTGATTTTATTGGTTTTCGGATGAAGTTACTTTTTCAAGTGTGAATTGGGCTTAACGCATTCGCTGCTATCGATGCATATCGGTGCTTCAATTGTCGTGTATGTGTTCTAAACGATGGTGCTCGTGGAATTATTTCAGTTTGACACAAATTTCAGACAGGTGAAACAACAAGCAGAGAGTGTTTAAATAAAAATTATTATTTAAAACAAAGTTTCTTTTTTATGAGAAAAGAGAAAGGAAGGAACACGCAGCAATAAATGAAGAAATAATTTCTAAAGAAATTTAAATACTTTCACGCTTGACGTTGCAACGTTTGTACATTGAAATGTTATTAATCGAATACAGGGTGTCCAGAAGGATGCTGATTTTAATTCTCAAAAATTTTCAAGCCGACGTCAGTCTTGTTTAATTAACCTAATTGCATTTCTTTCTTCGTTAAACTCAATTTTCCATCGGAAATTATTTTTTGTTAATTAACACGGTCGCATATATTGCATTCCTTTATTACATTCAATTTTTCAGCTGAAATTTTCCTTTTTAATTAAATTCCTCGCTTGTTAAACTGAATATCCGGAAATTTCATTTGGAAGCTTTTAATCCGTTTTTAATGAAATGTCCGATCGTGCAAGGATGAACAAATAGCAGCGAATGCGTCTATGCTCGAAATCGTCGATCGAAAGGAATTTGCAACTCTGTCGAAGAAAAAGTTGCAAAAAAAAAAAAACGAGAAACAGAAATCGAAATATATCTGTACGTGTTGTATTGTCAATGGCGTTTCCTTTCTTCTTACTGGAGGAACTCGATATTTTCTGGAGGATGTTCTACCTCGACCCAACTATCTCGACGACGTCGATCTGATGCACAACTTTCGAATCTTTTGATCCTCGAAGGCTCGTTCAAAGCTCGGGCACCTGAGACGATGTTAATAGAATTGTTGCGACGGCTGAAGTACGGTGACGTGGACGCTCGACGCACGAGCCGTGAATATTTTTCTCTCTCTCATTTAAACAAAACTTTCTTTCCCTTTCTTCGAGAAAAAATTTTTAGAAGCCTCGCTATCGTTTTTCTCGAAGCTACGAACTCTCCACTCGCGGGCGGAAAATTTTCGTAGCGAGTGACAGGAAAACTCGAGAATTTCTCACGTTGAGAAAACTCAAACGTTGAAAGATAGTGAAAAGTTGTTGAGAAATGATAGAATTAGAATATCGTGTAAGAACTGAAAAAAAAAAAAACAAAGTAATAACAATTTGGACAATTGTTTGAGAGATCCTTCGGAGAAAATTATTGAATAAAATTTATTTATCAACGATACTGAACGCTGTCGTTGACGTTTCAAAGGATAATTGGAAATTTATTAACCCTTAATTCTGAGAAAATTGCAAACTATCCCGGCAATTCAAAAATAATGATACTAACTAAGGACAATTGCCCAACGACACGAGTTTGTTTCAATAAAACAAGAGGAGAATGTGAAAATCGGATTATTGTTTCTTAAGATCGCATGCGGATCGATCGCGGAGGACAGGTTCCATTAGGCGAAACGGTGTCGGCCATTTTGGTTGCGACGTCCGTGCGCGTCGATGCCCCCATTTCTCGAAACAATTGTCGAAAAATATTCGTCGTGTGACAAAAGCACACACGCCATTCTAAAGCAGACATTATTCCTCTTTTCTTTTCTTTCTCTTTCTTTTTTCGCAAACACGATGTTCGTTCGAAACGTGAGACAGTTCAGATTGAAGGGATTAAGAACGATCCGATTTACTCGCAGGAACAACCATCCGCGCACATGCCACGTCGTATTTATATCACTTGAACAAATATCGGTACGCTCGAGTAAACGTATTCGAAAAATTAATTAATAACCGGGGAGTTCGTTGATTTTCTTCGTTGAGCGAAGATTGGCATCAAATGAAAGAACAAAATCATTGGCACAGACCAGATTTTCAATTGTGAAATTCTGTGCAAGTGTTTGGACAATTACCAGCCAACTCGTTCTCGACATTCCCTGCTTAGCATTTCGATTTGATAACGAGATTAGTAGAGAGTAAAAGCACCGACGAGCATCCGGTTGGTATTAAATGGTGGTAAGTGTCCAGATACTTGTGGCAGGAAGTTTGAATCGGTGAAAGACGTAGATTTTTCAATCCGTGGTCGATTAGAAAATCGATTGAAATAAGATTGAACAAGGAGAGATTCGCAGTTGAGCGACAAAAAATTAGAAAAGAAGTGAAAAGACACAGTGACCTGTTCTTGAACATAAACGAAGAACCAACAAAATTTCACCTAGAGCAAAAATTACAAACTTCGAGAATTAGAAATTCTATTAAAAAGAAAAAGAAGAAAAAAAAATTGGCCTATTTTTCTGCGAGAAAAGATTTTCTATCTCCTAAATATATTATAAAAAGGAAAAAAAAAAAACACCCGCACCCTCTGAAGTTTTGTAAACCGAATAAAAAAAAAATATATATATATATATATATTTTGTACATATTTTGTACAAACTCAGATAGAATTTCACGAAACGAAATTGCCTGTGCCAATAGGAGAAAGAGATCTCTTCGTCGTGTGTGCACGTGTATTGTTTTAGGAATTTTTTAAACGTCGCGTTAAACTGTAACCCCGAACCCGATGGACGAACGAGGAGCAATACGAACAAGCGCATCGACATTTGGCGTCAATTATCGTAAAAAGAAAAAAAAAAAAAAGAAGCTATAAAAGGATAAATCGAAGAGGAAGAGAAAATAAACAAATAAATGAATAAAAATAGCGTCCAATCGATTACTTCAGTCGTTGCTCGGCGTTATAAACCTACTAGGCAAGCTGCCCTCTGTACATAAAGAAATATATATATATATAAAAAAAAAACCTATTATATATATTATATATATAAATATATATATAAATATATTATTGAATCTGTAATGAAGTGTACTGTAAGCGTTACATGTTCGTGTCAACTCGAGATACGATTCGAGAAAATGCAGCCTGCGCCATCGTGTAATCGTGGGGATCGAAAGGAGAGACAAAGAAACGAAAAAGAAAAAAAAAAGGGATAAAATGAAAACAAAAAAAAAAAAAAGAGAAAAAATATCGAGAAAAAGGCGGAAAGATGGGGGGTGAAAAAAAAAAAAAAAGAAGAAAGGAGGTAATCCATCGATCGAAGAGATTGTACGATTGTATCGATCAAGTCGGTGAAAAATAAAACTGTGCTGTTAACGTGGAGGCGTGACGATCGACGGAATCATGTGTCTCTCATTCTCTGTCTGTCTCTTTCTATTTCTCTTTCATTTTCTTCTCTTTTCGTGTCCATCTTTCCCAACTTCTGTGACAAGAATTTTGCACGATTGTTTCTTTCCGTTTTTTTTTTTTTTTTATTACTCCCCCGCAGAAATCGTTCGTGCAACGAACGCGATAATGTAACGTGACACAACGTAACACAATGCAACGCAACGTCACACGCCAAAACGAATCGCAGATAACAAAAGAGACGCGTTGATTTTTTTTTTTTTTTTTTCAAGGACAACACATCAGATTGTTACGTAAAACACGAGATCCCACGAGTGTTGTACTTAGTCTGTTCATACGATGCTGTATAATGAACGACAGTTACATTCTGTCCAGGGAGGAGCAAGATTATATCTCGCCAAAGAATAAAATTTAGAACCCAAGTTACTTTTCTCTTCGACCGATTCGTATCTTTGAATGTTTCAAACGTGATCGACCAATGCATCTGCACGCAGTGCCATCTGGTGACGATACTAACGACGGAAACGGGATCTCAATGTCGTATTTAGTCCATTCTTAGTTGATGAAAGAATTACATTCTGCCTTGAGAGGAGCCAAAATTTATCTAGTCAAAGAACAATTGGTTATCTCTTTCACAAAGAAATTCGAACGTATTTTTGAATTTTTCAAACGCGATCGATCGATGCACCTGCACGCAGTGCCATCTGGTGATGATACTAACAACAACAACAACCACAAGACGTGACGATACTAACGATACAAAGAATAAGAAAGTTTCAAATGGTTCTTAATCGCCGCGAGTATTATTTTATTTACTTGATTTTCAAAAATAAAAAAAACGAACCTCTATTCTTGAAAAATTCAATATATCGTGCGCTGAATCTATGTGTACTCCAGTGTTGTTAGATTATCGCTGCGACAATTATTTTGGCACGATTAAATCGCCAGGCTGAAGTCATTAAAATTGAATTTCAAAGACGTGAGCAATTACCATCTAGATGAAGATCGGCAACACCGGCGAACAACGATCGATATCCTGACTCTCGAGGCTGGGAACTCGTTAAGTTCCATGGCTCGATAATTCTTAATTGTCCCGTAATGAAGGATTCGCATATCCACGACGGGGAGACCCGACATTTGCCAACATTTTCAACCGTGAGTACTAAGATCTTCACAGAGAATAACAAACACAACAATAAAGCAGAATAATAACTAACACAGAAAATGATAAACTGAACTTCAGAAATTAACAAACTCTCGAATTTTAACGTTCAAGCAGAGAATTCATGATCTAAAAATCTAATTTCTTTGTGCAGACACAACAAAATCAAGTTTTCAATTGAAAGTATTAAGATCTTCGCAGAAAATAAATGACAATAATAAACAATAAAAGGAATAATAAATAACATAGAAAATGATGAATCGAACTTCAGAAACTAACAAACTCTCGAGTTTCAAGGAGAGAACTCATGGTAAGAATCTAATTTCTTTTGTGCGGGATATAAAATCAAGTTCCTTTCCTTTCTTGGGCTCAAACAAAATTCGCGTTATTAATTTCTACGCGGTTAATTTATAAAATATTGATTCAGCCCTCGGTGGTATAAGCTCCTTTGGGGCTTTACACATAATTCGTTCGAAATTTCCCTCAGCGAAGTTAGGAGTCACGATTTTCTCCTAACTTCCGCGCGTTACCGAACTTTTAATTGCCCCCACAAATTTTTTCCGCATCTCGCGACCGATTGATCCGCCGGAGCGATTAGTACAACTTTGATGAAATCTCACGAACTTACCCCAAGGAATTTTCACGCTTTCAATTATTTTCGCAAACGTTCTAACTCGTAAATCTCGCATAAATGTAGAATTTTGATATTTAACAAAGCGTCTCATTTTTGCAGACAAGGTAATCTCCTGTTCGTTATTTGATCCCAATTCGGTCAAATGTACTTGAACACCTGAAATAAATTTAAATCATGCGTCCAGTGGAAAATTTAACATAAATGTTGTATGGTTTTACGGAAGGCAAAAATATAGTGCAACAAGTTGCCATACATGAATGTTTCATGAACGTTAATGATAAAATTATCGTAAAATATCTTCTTAACCATTAGATTTAGGACAAACGACACACCAAATTTATGCGCCATATTTTGCCTTCCTTACAACCATACAACTTTCCTATTAAACAATTTTTCAATCGGACGCATAATTTGAAAGTTATTTCAGACGTCCAAGTTACGTGAATCACCCTGTATATTTGATTCTCTCTAAAATTGAGCCTCAAATAAAAAAAAAGAGTTAGAGTAATCCCTCAGTCCACGGTGTTATGTTTTTCGTATAAAATATTTCAAAATTACGCCTTAATTATTAAAAAAAAAAAAAAAAAGAAAACAGATGAAATTTTCTACTTTTAGAAAAAAATCGTTCTTACGTGAGAATTATGAATCTTTTCGCGAGCCGATGTAGGATCGAAGCATCGAACGAGAAGCCACGTAGCAAAATCACGAGTCACGATGCAGGAACATAGCGACAGTGGTTCCAGCAGGAAACTGGGTTAGGCGAACTATTAAAAGACGACCGGCACTTGCGCGCCCCGTTTAATATTTTTATTTAAGCACCCCGGCCGCTTGATTATTTCCTCTTCGAAACGGTTTCGCCACTTTGGTGTTCGTTTGCCTCCGAGGCTTTTACAGAGCGCTGACTGTTTTATAGAGGGCTCTTCTTTATCATCGAGGGCCCTGGCTAATATGATGTAATAGCTACGATATTCAATTTTCTTCCATCGTTAATTGACATTAGTCGCTGCGCTCCGAAAGGCGTATGTACGTACATACACAGGGTGTCAATAAAATTGATAGGTAGTATAGTTGAAAGTGGACTGGTCTTGAATTTATTTCCCTGTGTTTCCATTTGAATTTATTTTTGTCAAAGAAACTTTAAAAATGGAAACAGAGTATTTGGATGAAATTTAATTATTTATAAAATAGATAAATTATTAATAGTTTTTACAAAAAGTGCACAACTTTCCTAAAAGGAACATTTAGTTAAGATCATGTCAGAGATATCATAATAAATGACAGTGTCTCGAATGTGCGATGAGTTTTCACAGCTATTGATACAGCTTCTCAGTCTACTCCGAAAACCCAAACACCTCGTGAATACCATGTTCCACTTTGTTGCAATAGTTCTGCTAATAAATCGCTAAACAGAAGCAAACCTGCTTAAAACCAGAGAACCAATTCGCTCTCTATCCAGAGAGAATGCTCTCAACATACTTCTACCACACCCACTGAAAACCGAGTCTTTCCTTCTCTCCGATATCCCGAAAAAGCTGAACAATGCACACGCGCGTGCAGCACACGTGGAGATCAAAGCTACAATGCATATTCTGCAGAAATGTTGCGTCAATCTGTCGGGTTTGCGGGGAATTCCAAAGCGTAAATCAACGAGAAACGCGAAACTCGATATTCCTAAAGCGCTACATCTACTAATAGAAAGGTTGCATCGTTAAATTCCGATTGCACTCGCGTTATCACCCGACGTCGGTTCAAAGGTAACTCTCTGTCTCTGTCTCTCTCTCTCTCTCTTTTTCTCTGTCTCTCTCTGTCTCTCTCTCACTGTTAGCTTTCGATTCCGGTTACGTTGCAATCTCGCGGAACGGTTCATGCATTATTCGAAGCAGCGGATCGTCACACACGTGTCTGTCGGAGGTTCTATCGATCCCGCGGCACGTTCCTCGCCTGAAAAATAATTGCCAGGCGGAAAAGAAGGTTAAGAGAGACAAGAACGTCTCTCTCTCTCTCTCTCTCTCTCTCTTTCGTACGTGCACGTGCGACAATCATTGAAAAAAAAAGGAGGAAATTTCACGAAAATTCACCGACCATCAAGCTGATGAATATTAACGCATTATCGATTCGCTTTTGTGATGAACAATGGGGGTCATTTTCGGCAAATCGAGGGAAATCGAGATCGTTACCTTTGAATTGTGTATTAATTCCGATCTAGATGACAGAGTGGCTACTGACAGAGAGATCTTCACGTTTTTCACATTATTATTTGTGAAAAAAATTGATTTCACTCAAGTGACAAGTTCACTCGATTTCAGATCACTAACAATAAGAGCTAGTAGTAATTCCGCCCAATTGCAAATAGCGTTTGTTCAGACAAAATAGTCAGAGAATAATTTGTCAAATAACCTCGAGATACATATTTTATTTGACAGCTATTGTTGAGATCGTAGAAAACTGTTTCAAAAACTTCCAGGCGACTGGATCTGGCTGCTACCATGGATAGCGGGATGATTTTGTCAAACACTTTCGGATCATCTTGTATTCTGAACAACGTCGCGAGAACGAACAAAGGCGAAGAGAATAGCTCTTCGAAGGAAGGTAAAGAAGGGGGCAGGAGGCTGTTCGCGTCGTTGGCGTGCAATTTTCTTCTGCACTCTCGAATGCACGGCTGGAATACGGCTAGGCTCTCGTGTAGACCCCACTCGACCTCTCGAGGAGTGCCACGAGGTTCTACCGGACCCGAGGTTTCCAGCGTCGTTCCAGACGCTATACGATACCCTTTCAGCGTCCGTTTCTTTCTACCCATTCATCGTCCAGGTGCGCACAACTCACCCTGTCTTGCAATAAAACGTCAAAAGGAAACTTTCAAGTTCCCTGCGAGTCGCCTCTTCGCAGATACCCAGCGATATGCAAGTCAAACTGGAAATTCAAATACAAATTGGGGGATACGTGAGAATTTGTAAGTTACAGAAATTTCACAGTACTCTGCAGGTTCTTGGATTTTACAGAGTGCACGATTCCGGAAGAGGACTAATTGCAGGTTGGTTTCGTTCTTTCCCACGAACCAAAATATAAGAACAGTCAAATACACAAATTGGCAAATGTAGACGTTTATGAACATAAGGATTTTGGGCGATAAATGCTGTTATTTGGTAAAAAAAAAAAGTATCTCATCTTTCCACATTGGACCAAGTCGGGACAAAGAAACTGGCAAATATGAGGATTTATTGCTGTAGGAACTCTGAACCCAAACTTTAGTACTATTACGTGTTCTGCACTTAAAAAGAAGAACTTTATCAAAATCAATTCTTCCATCTTACGACGCTTCTTCGTCGAGAATTCATATTCGAAATCAACAACGCCATACGTCAAGAATCTGAAATTCATAGACAGAAAAGTACGTACAGATATTCAATCTCAGGGTCCTCAAACGTTAAACAAACAAAAAAATACGTAAATCGTAATATTTATATAATGTTCGGACGAACATTTGTAAGATAAGAGAATGGTGTGGATATGTCCGCTTTCCCCCACCACGCGCGCTCTCCCCACTCCTCGGCCGCGTGTTTCCCTACGTTAGCGCGTGCCGACGACACGAGAGCAGTGAGTCAGTGGTGCGCGGGCCTTCGTGGCGCGAGGACGTGCACCATGTTTGATGTTGACGCTCGGTGAACGTGCGTGAACAAACCTCGTGCGAGTGCGTGCAATCACAGAGAAACTAACTCAATCTTGACTGTTTGTTCCTCGGACCGTTATCAGACTTTTTCTGTGCGTTGTGTCGGATGAATTTTTGAACTTTGAATTTTTTGCCTCGGTTTGGAGCGCGTTGGAAGCAGTTGGAGCAAGATTGGCAACGTTTCTTCGTCGCTGGCGACAGGTGAGAGCTTTTTAATTGCGATCTAGGGGGACTTTCTGGGCGAGGAAGTTAAAATTAGTCATAGCTTGGGACATTTGCACGAGAATTGGCGTCTCGGGTGATTTATCAACGTTGGATGCGCGATACTAACTTCGGGAATTTTCATTCTCCATAGACGTTGCTTGAATCATGTCTAATAAATTAAGAATCCCTTTTTATTTAAATTAACAACGATTCAAATAACGACCTGAGACTTTTCCATGTACTCTTCACAGTTCCACACGGGAAACTTAATTAAGTTGCAGGTTCCTGAATCGATAAAATTATTATTCGAGTTGAAAGCATCTCGTCAATGAAATATGAAGCGAAGAAGCGTGACATTCTACGGTATTAACGTAGTTAAAAGTGAAAGAATAATTTTAAACGTTATAACTGGACTGTGCATTTTTATATATATTTGTGGGAACTTTGAGAGTGCGAAAATATATAAAATATCCAAAGAAAGAAAGAAAGAGAAATAAATTCAATTTGGATGGTAAATATTTCCTGATAGAATTATTAATTTGATAAAATTTGGCAAAATCGTTTTAACCTGGCAACTGAGAGTACTACGAATTAAGCTTGGCTTTCCAAACTTCTTTTAATCTCTTGTCGGATTTATAAATCCATTAATCCTTACTACGACTGCCTTAAGACCACCGCGATATCTCCCTTAAGACACTGTTAATCCTTCAAGAGCGTCAGACAACTTTAAGAATATCTCAAAACTAGCTTAAAGTTTTAAACAATTGTCCGTCTATGATTTTGCTAATAATTAATAAGACTACGAATATTTATTGCATTTTTGAGAAACTCAAAGCTTCAATAATTTATAGAATCACTTTAATAATTCACACTTGAATGTATCAAATTATTTAATAAAATTAATTTCAATAATCTAAGTAGTCTAATTCTGGCGTCTCGTATATTTTTGGATAGTAAATGTTTTCCATGGATCTTTACATCCTTAAAATTCCTCCCTAAAAAAAAAAACGTATAAAAATTCACAGTCAGTCCCAAATCATTCGTCAAATATTCCCAAAAAGCAAATAAAATAAAGTGTTTCTCGACAGTCGAGTCAATCGTTCGTTCCCACGGGAGAAGTCCGATTTTTAACCAACCAGGATCATTTCACGATTCGTTTGAAATTTCAACAAGTTGGATATAAACGAAGGCGCAGATTCCTCTGCTTGTTGTTTCGGCCATCGTGTGAAATCTCAGCCCAGCCAGTTTGACACTGACAAATACAATCAGACAATTGGAGATCCTCCAACGACTACCTGATTGCAATCAATTGTTCCTCTATGAGTGCACGCCGATCAGATCTGCGACCCGAGAAACGTAAATCCAAGGAAACTTAGTTGGCCATTGAAAAGTGACCTTCTCGCGTCTGAGGCTTTCGAAACTGTTTTGTTGTTATTCAATTTCATCTGTACACCACTGCTCTCTACCTCTCGTTGCTGTTTTTCAATTAGTTTAGTCACAACAACACCGGCTAAGTTTACTTGTAGGCATTTTCCAAGAAATGTTGAAGAAAGTCCTCCTTTATTCTTAGAATGTTTGTGCACACGTGTACGTTATCAAACGAAGAAGCGTGGGGACTCATTTTATTTTTAATACGAGTAACAGGATTCCTCTGAATTTCAAACTGATCAATCTCGCTACCATGGGCGTTTCATAGAACTCCATCCGCTGTCAAACTAATTAAGAGACACCGGGTGCCTCTTTTCTTCAAACTCATTTGCATTTCAATCTTCCTCCAACCAGCTCGAAACAATTTCACTGCTACGAACGCGGGAACGAAATACAAAATCAAAAACGTTCTTGCTAAAAAGACGCGAGAGCATTTTTTAATTTGATTGGTGTGCAGTTGTCGCTGTTGCTTCAAACGAGGGCAAACTCGTCCGATTAAAATTGCACAAAACGGAAAATTGCACAACATTGCACGACAGATTTCTTTTGAAATTTGAAAATATACATCCTGGAAGAAGAAAGCTCAAACTCAAGTTGGAAAGCTCTTCAGTTTGCCTTTGAAAAACATGCGCGCGCGCGTATACACAGACACACATACACATACATAGAGGAACACACGAGTTTTCCACAAACGTAGCACGAAGATAATTTTATATTGGTACTCCTGATTGCAACCAACGAGGTTTCTTGAAACGAGCCATAGACCTGGACGAAACAGGAGCGCAGGTTCATCTCTTCAGATTAACCTCGAGTAAAAAACCGCTTGCCATTATCCGCTAGAAATAGCAAACCACGTTCCCTCATTCCTTTCTCTCTTTTCTTTTTAATCAAATTCAGCCGGCCCTTTCTCCCCAATGATTCTCATTTTGATAGAGGTTCTCGATGTATTGGCCAGGAAGAAGCAAAACCACGATCAATGCGACACAGTTGTTACGATTTGACACGAAACCATTTCAAACATCTTGAGATGCTGAACACATTTATTCTTCTCGGCTACCTCAAATTCTAAAATAAAAGTTTCTCTGAATTGAAAGAAGAGAATCGCTCGAAGACAATTAAAAATTGACCGAAATATTTTAACCTCGGCGCGTAATTGTCATTTTGGCCGGTAGGGGATTTGCCGTTTCGTTGAATTTCGTTGATAAATTCCGCGAGTCTGCCGGATTAGATCGTGGTCAGAGTTGATCTACATGATAATCGGTGTGTAGAGGGCTTCCCCGGCGTACATTGAAGTCAAGATAAATTAATATTTCGAAGTGGAGCGGTCGGGAAGACTGACAAGTGTGTTCAGACCGCGGACGTGTAGTGTCAGACATCTTGTCTTTCGTTAACTTAGACTTTGTACTTACTGTTAAAGGTAATGAGTATGTTAGAAGATATATAAGATATGTCAGAATACTATCGTTAGTTGTTCGTCTCGATTTTAGTTAGTTATCCTTTTTTTTTTTTTGCAAGTAAATAATATACGAAGAAAAATGAGTGATACAACTGATCAGAAGGTTATTATATTATATAAATGTAGAATATAGTTATTTCGTTCGATCTATCGTTTTTTTATCGTTTTCACCAAACTAAATTATTTCAACTAAGTAATACTTTATACGACAGAAGAATCTTCAAGTATTAATACATTAATGATTATAAAATACAATTATAGAAATAAAATGTGCCCTAACAACTCTGAGCTAACGAGCTCGACTAGTTTTGATAAAAATTTCAACAGAAAGTTGTTTCAAAGTTAGTCCGAGGTTAAATCGGAACAATGGAATATCCTTTTTTCATTTCGGGGAAATTAAAAAAAAAAAAAAAAATTAAACTGAGTAATACGGTGAAAATCAAGATTAAATTCCCACCTAAAAGCAACGTTTGATATTTGCTGTTTTCGTTGGGATTCGTAGAAAATTGTTTTTGGCTGAATGGGATCGATTCGGTGCTAGTTGAAATGAAATACGTTTAATAGGAGCGCAAAATAGGAAAGAACATGCGCGTTGAAAAAGAAAAGACTCCAGGTACAAAAATATACGAAGAGAGAGAGAAAGAGGGAAGCATACAAAAGAGAGAAAACCAACTGCGCCATTTAGGTGTGTATTAAACGACGATAATCGTTTCGTTATTTGCGTGTTTTCCGACAAAATGAAAAGAAAAAAAAAATTCATTCCATATTTATCGTAAAAAGAATTTATAGGTACCCACAAATAATATCGTTTATTGATACTCTACAAAATTTTATTTTATTTCAGAGTTAATACAATTTTAATCTATAATATTATCTATAATAATCTATAATAATTTAACAATAAGCGCGCTAAATGTCAATATATTTAACTGGAATGTAGTTTATGTTATAGCGAGTTAAATTATTGTCACTATTAAATCTGAAGAAAACGACATTACTTACGGATACACCTAATATATAAATGTGGAATGTTCAAATTGTTCTCGTCGCCGTATTTTAAGAACATTGTCCTTTCTCGAGCATTTTCAACAGTAAAAGAATACGTCACTATATCATCGCATGCCAATATACAGTGACGATAGACGATAAAACCATAAAACTGTTAAATCACTCAATATCCAACGCCACCAGCTCAGAAAATCCGTGGAGTTTTCCTTCGGCCAGCGGCTAACCTCTCGAAATCGACCGAGAAATTATGAGAAACTGGAATTCAAGCTTCCCAAGAACGCAGCCAGCCGAGCGTAGTTGTCATTTCGATCATCTCTCAATTAATCCAAGCTATCGGCGGTATTTAGGTTTCGACAATTCCCACCATAAACTTACTCCAGTTTCCCAATTCATCCCATGGGACAACTATCAAAAAATCGTCAGTCTGACGGAAATCAACGTCGAACGCTGTCAATGCCAATTGGCGAACTTGTATATGCAACTTGAAGCAACTGGAAACCAAGAACCAAGTCTCTGATATTGCGATGCAATATTCATCGTATTTTCTAGTTGGACGCTCGATCAAAGTCGATCTCGATTGTCTCGATGGAGACACAATCCTTCGAGGCAGCCTTCTCGAGTCAAATTCCATTTGGGAGCTGCAAGTTTTCCAGCCGCTTCAGCCAGCGACAGTGGCCCTTTGCTCTTAGCTCCTTGCGCTGGCAACTGATTGCGGACCATAACGAGTGACCAAATAATAATTCGTCGCTTTCTTTTCTGAACTGGTCGGCACGACATCACCGGATAGAAATTATTCCGAAGTAATTTAACAAATTTATTATTTGTTTCGCCTTGGTTATACTTAACCCTCGAATACGCGTACTCGGGACACGCTTGTCTGCCACGAAGATCCTCCGCTAATAGATCGAGTAGCTATTTACGGGCACGCTCGTTCCGCGCCTCGCAACGAGGTATATAACGCCTCGCAACGTTCTTCAACAGCTGTCGTCGAATGTTCAGGTGATCGAGTCTTTGGATTAATAATAAATAGGATTCGTTGCGAGATGACAGCGGCATAAAAGCGTTTGACGCAGACGCAGTGGTGATAAACAGGAGCATGACGTTT